ACAAAACTTTCTTTACAAGCGCGCATGGTAAATGAAGTTTCTTGAGGACTGAATTGTTGAATAGTTTTAAAGTACAGAATATGGTGTAAAATAAGAGATGACCAGTTTTGGGGAACCCGATAATGCAGATAACTCATCATCTTACTCTGGAAACTCCTTTTGTTTCTGATCGGGGGAGGGAGGAGAATATATGGGTGTCCCAGCTACCTACGAGGTCAAGAAAAATGAGGGCAGGGAAAACCATAAAGATAGATGCTAAATCCATTTATTTACAGCATTTGAAAGATGAGGACATCCAGCTGCTTGAACTTAAAAGAGACTACTGCAGGCGAGTGAGGATATTTAGGGGACTGAATCTTAAGCCAGATGTTTGCTTGGGTCAAGACTAGGTGCAAGTTATCTAAACTGCAATCTTAACAAATATGATCAGTAATTCACTTGAAGTAGTCAAGAGAGCTCCTAAATGAAGCAGTAGCACTAATACCACCAAAATGACAAATGCTATCTTTCCTTACACTAGCTGGTAGGTATCACACACTTTTTGTTCTTGTTACTTTTGTACTCATGACAGCTTTTTCTTACCACAACCACTGCATACTTCAAATGATCAAACAATTCAGACTGGAAGGGGCCCCAGGAAGTTCCCTGGTTCAGTCTCCCGCTCCAAGCAAAGTCAACAGTGAATACTTAAAAATTACTTCTAAAAAAGATGAAAAACTAATGTAAAATACAGTAAAGCCCATACAAGGAAGCTGTGATCAATTTCACCAAGAATCCTGTGAATATTCAGAACTATGACAAAAATTGCATCACAAGAATACAGGTTGATGCTGCATTTTCAGAAGTTTTTCACTTTTCTTAAACCTGAGGTCCAATCAAAACTTAGATAATAGAAATCTTACCAATTTGGTGGTGGTGTGTTTAACCATACCCTTACACCTCCAAACCATGTCTTGATACAGAAACAAGCAAAAAGCCACCCAAATACAATTACATGCTACAGAACAGTCAAGGTGCAGTTGTGATTAAGAATGTTTAGAGGCCCTAACACAACCTACTGTCATTTTACTATCACACCTTGCCTTAGTTTAGTGGAGTTTGCTAGTCCAGCAACTGCCATCTACAGTAAGCTTCCCTAGAAGCACAACTCATTCATGACACACTCGACACGCTCGCTGGCAGGAACTGCAGCACAGCGATGTCTGTTGCAGACAGAAAATCAAGAAGTCTCTATTTCACATTTCCCATAGAATCCAATAAAGAGATTTTAAGCAAATGAGTTCGATTTGGACACAATTTGATAAAAGCAAGTTCTTGCAGCTACAGCACTTGGAGCATGCTGGCTTTAATCTGTTCCTTAGGTTCCAAAATTTAAATAACACATGCTTTTTGCATATAATCAAATGATAATTTAATTTCAAACTAATTCTGAAACTATCTGCAAACTATATTAGTGGTAAACATAGGTCAGGTATTCTCCCAAACATACAATTTGCAATCAAAAGAAAACATGCATAAAACAGAAGTTTTAATGTAAACTACTTGGACTGTGGGTCTCTGGAGTTTCCCAGTTTTAGAAAGTTAACACCTTGTTCCCTAAATGGCTTCTGTGAGCATTATTTCAGTGCTCTAAACATAAGTGATGGGAACTTTACACAACTTACTAAAAACATGAAGGTAACATGCATAAAAGGTAACACTATCATACCCTACAACCACACAATGGAGACCAATTCTGTGCAATCTGCTACCACACATTTATCCTGACCTGCAATTTGAATTACTAAGGAATTGTGACTTCAACAAAACCTCACCAACAGAAAGTTCCAAGAAGAAAAGTGTTACTAGAACTTAATTTTAGGCCACAAGTTCTGAAACTGACACCAAGCTTTTTATATTCTTCCTAAGAATCAAGATTAATTTAGTGTTTTCCCAGTACAAACCAGTATTTGCATAGACTTCAATACAGACGATAAACAGAAATATTTTCTTCTTTCCAATGTAACGAAGAATGAGTGCCATGGAACACCTAATTCCCTATGGGAGCAAAAGCAAACTGGGTTGCTGAAAAAGTAACCTATTCAGCACCATTGTCTAATCACATGTTGTTCTGACTTATTTCCAGAGCAAGCTCCACCTAGTTCTTCTAGCCAGGAAAGTAGTTGTCACCTTATACGAACATCTGCAAGGACAAGACTGTCAATTATTTTCTGTAACCGAGTACAGCAGACCTGGGAAAGTACATAACAAGTATAGGATTCCAGTTGAGAAAGAAACTGGGTTTGGGGTATTTTTTTTTTCACTTTTTTTTAACTGCAAACTTTTGTTTGCTTAATTTTAGGCACATCCAAATTAATTATAGTAACTCGAAATTCTAAACTTTAAAGAAGATACAGAAGCAAGATGAATTCAAACCAGGTAGATTATAGCACTATGTAGGAAATTTACTCAGCAACTAAGATGGAAAGAAAAGCTATGGTAATCACTCCAGGAGAGCAGGAAACCTTCGGTAAAGTCATCTCCAGTCTCTGGAAAGACAAAGATCATCATAGGCCTCAGAAGCAGCAAGAGTGGAGAAAAGGAAAGGATGAGGAAATAAATATAATGAGCAGGTGAGAAAATGTAGTTTAAATTCTACCAAAAGAATATCAAATACAGGAAGCCTTAGCAGAAACCTTACAAAAGTAGCTAGGAATAAAAAACAAAGTTACTTTAATAACATTCAGAACTCCAAGAAAGCATTGGGCCACAGTATTACATAGTTGAAGAAAAAAAAAAAAGTTAGATTCAGGTTGCAATGGCTGAAAAACACACTAGAATGAATGGATTCTGAACATTATTCTGACCATATTCCATATTCAGCCTCAAGATACCTACTATACCTTTACACCTGTGAACCTTAACATATAGATTTATTCTAAATCAAATCCAAGAGTCTGCCCATGGCTTCTTGGAAGTATATTTTAATGCACTCACATGTTACCTGCCCACCCAGCATGAGCTACAGTTTCTGAAAAAAAAATATCAGAAGTGCTGAACGGCTGTAGAGGACACAATCCAACAGCTGCTCTCACAGAAAAATGGGTTAATATTCTGCTATGAAAAAATTTAAAGCTTCATACATAAAAGTTACAGATTTTAGCTGCTAACATCTGATAGCTTTAAATACTAGGGAGAGCAAGACTAATTAATATATTAAATCAAAACACAATAAATAATAAGCCACAATCAACAGGAAATCGTGACAAACATAATGTAACAAGTAGTCACTTTAGTGAAATTAAATTACTAGAATCAATATCTGAAATACTAGCTTGTTTCATATTGTACCAATAGGCACACAGAAAATTACAGAAAAAACCAGGAAGGTGTTAAACTATCATACTCAATCGGGTGTCAAACTCCTTAGCTGCAGGAGCGACATTAAAACACTACCACGTCTGACGTTTGGAGCTGGAAATTATAAAGTAGCTCTCCTTTAATTTGCCCTATGCAAAGTAAATCTAGTATAAACATCGGTTAGGTACACAAAGATCCTTTGAAATTAAAAGCAGGGTAAATTTCAAGTCATTCCATTGACTGAGGCCAGCTGGACAAACCTCCCTTCCTTACTGAACCTTTATCAGCATTATATTAGGAAAAAATAACTACTTGATATAATCTTCAAAAAGACATTTAAGATACACCGAAGCCCTGCCGGCTGAAGCCGTGCTGTTCTCCCCAGCAACGCTAAATCCATTACCACCCAAATCCCCGACAACTTCTCTAGCGCTTTAGGAAGAAGAGAGCTACGTGGTTTCCTCTCGTCATGGGCGACACTTTCCGAGCAAAGCTACCGGGGAACGGCACACAGGACCCCCGCAGCCCCCCTGCCCCTCCAGCCCCACACCTGCACCACGGCTTGGCCTCCCGTAGAGCCC